GAGTCATCAGCAAAAAGAGCTACTTTAGATGAAAGGTTGTCAGGAAGATCATTTATGTAGATAAGAAACAAAACAGGGCCCAGGATGGAACCTTGGGGAACCCCAGAAGTTACTGGAAATAAAGAAGAGTGTTGGCCTTCAAGGATGACTTTAATAAATCGGTCAGAAAGAAGTGATTTGATAATCTCAAAAACTTTCCCAGAAACACCATATGAAGCAAGCTTATGGAGAAGACCAGCATGCCAAACTTTGTCGAAAGCTTTAGATATGTCGAGAGCAATAGCCCTAGCCTCACCGCCTCCATCTAATGCACGATAAAATCTTTCAGTTACAGCAGTTAGCAAGTCGGCCGTAGAGCGAGAGGATCGAAAACCGTATTGATTGTCTGACAGTAGTTTATTTGACTCAAGATGAGATGTGAGGAAGTTGTTGATCAAAGACTCAAAGACCTTGCTAATAACAGAAAGAAGACTGATCGGACGATAATTGGAGGGGTCAGAATTTTCTCCAGAGTTTTTGAATATTGGAACAACAGGTGCCATTTTCCAACAAGCAGGAAAACAAGACTCAGTCAAACACTTGTTAAATAGTTTAGAGAGAATTGAAGAAAGTTCTGGAGAACAATTCTGCAAGACTGTGACAGGAATGTTGTCTGGACCACAAGCTGTAGACGAGTTTAATTGAGATATGACTTTAGCAACAGAAGCCGGAGTGATTTGAATGTCTAACAATGGGTCAACCTGTTTGACTGGAATGGAAGGAAGAGAATGTCCATAAGATTCAAGAGTGGAATTAGAAGAAAAGTTCTTTGCAAACAGTTTTGCCTTATCCCTGGGAGAGGTAACAAGATCAGTCCCATGAATGAGAGATGGAATGTTAGATCTACCCTTGTTAACAATGCTGTTGAAGATTTTCCAAAAGTCTTTAGAGCCTAACTTCTGCGATAAGATGCGAGATTTAGTGAACTGAGAATAATGGAGTTTAGCATCAGAAAGCACCTTTTTACATCGATTTCTTGCAATAATAAATAGCCGTTTGTTCTCAAGAGAGTTGTTCTTTTGAAAAAGATGAAAAAAATGGTTACGATTGGATATAGCAGCCGCACAAGAAGGAGCCCCCTCCAAGCAATAAGAGAGAGAGTCAGCTTATCATGACAAGAATAAATAGTAGTATCATCAGCAAACAATGACACCTTAGATGTGAGAGTATTTGGAAGATCGTTAATGTAAATTAAAAAGAGTATAGGGCCAATGATTAAACCTTGAGGAACCTCTGAGGTTTCAGAATAAGAAGTAGAGTGCTGTCCATCAAGAACAACTTTTATACTATGATTGGAAAGAAAGGATTCAATAATCTTAAAGATGTTTCCAGAAGAAAGCTTATGGAGAAGACCAGCATGCCAAACTTTATCACACCTTTAAAGACCAATCTCTTTAAAAACCTATCAGTTATAACTGTTAGCAAATCAGCCATAGAACGAGAAGATCCATATTGATGATCAGAATGAAAAAATCCATATTGAACACCATAGAACGAAAAAATCCATATTGATGATCAGAAAGTAGGTTATAAGATTCGAGATGAGAGATTAAGTGTTTGTTAATTAAAGATTCAAAAACCTTGCTTAAGATAGGGAGAAAACTAATGGGACGGTAGTTAGATGAATCAGATCACTTTCCAGAATTATTCAAAATAAGGATAACAAATATTGCTTTCCACCAGGCTGGAAAACAAGACTCTGGTAAGCACTTGTTGAATAGTTTTGATATGATAGACGACAGGTCCGGAAAACACTTCTGCAAAACTATAACAGGTATGTTGTCAGGGCCATAAGCTTTAGAAGAGTCTAAGCAGGATATCACTTTAGATACGGAAATTGGAGTGATACGAATGTCAAGCTATGGATCAACCTTTTAGACGGCTATATCAGTTAGAATGCAACTAGTGGAATCAAGAGATGATATTGATGCATAGTTCTAAGCAAATAGTTCAGCTTTATTTTTAGGTGAGGTGACAAAACCGTTTAAAAGAAGTGGATCTACAGACTTGTCCTTATTATTGATACTATCAAAGATTCTCTAGAAGTCACAAGAGCCTAATTTTTGTGATGAAATACGAGATTTCATGACCTTTCGCATTAGACAAAACCTTTATACAATGGTTTCTGGCAGTAATAAACAGGCATCTGTTTTCTGGAGAATTGTTTTTCTAATAGATATGGAAGTTATGGTTTCGATTGGAAATTGGAGCAGCACAATGTGAGCTAAACCATGGAGAATAGGTTTGATCTGGAATCGTCGAGAGAGAATAAAGGATTCCATATCAGCCTGAATTCACGAAGGCATGTAAGAAACACATTTGTCAACAGGAAGATGAAAAAAATCTACCCAAGGGCCATCACGAAGAAAATCACAGAAAGAGTCCCAGTCAGAGTCCCAGTCAGTTTTATGGTAGTTGTAAATTTACGATGATAGGGGGATTCTGATGATGAAGAAGAATGAGATAATAATTTTAGAGAGATCAAACTGTGTTCAGAGGCACCTAAAGGTAAATGTGGAGAAACTGAGCACTGACTAGGATCAGAAACAAGACATAAGTCGAGTAGAGAAGGTAAATGATTCAGGTTGTCTGGAAAGGGAGTTGGAAAGTTGACTATTTGAGTTAGGGATTGAGAAAGGCAAAAGTTATGGGCTTCAATGCCTGCAGAGTCACTGACACTAGAGCCAAGCCATTCAGTGTGATGAACATTAAAGAACACCAATAACAACAATTTTGGCTGATGGATAAAGAGAGAGAGGGCTTGGTCAATATGATCAGAAATAACATCAAGAAGAGTGCAGTCTTGAGATGAAGGAGTGCAAGAACAAAGAGAAAGGTGATATAGTGAAGTGAATGATAAACGAAAGCACATAAAAGAGTAGTCTGTAGATTCAAACCTAGTTTCTCGATGGGTAAATTCTTATGAGTGTAAATGCCCTGGCCAAGCATGTGACTATTGGAGTCTTTATGAATTAAAGGAAGATAAACATCAACACTAAACTGAAAAAAATGTATTAAAAATACATCTGCACCAGCCTAATAGATGAAGAAGGGGTCAACAGATAGAATCAGTTTACCCCTTAAGTCTTTGCCTAGGAGGCCTTATACAAGACAGCAGCCGAATGCATTTAACATCTGCCCAAGATGAGTATTTTTATGGAGACACCATCTCTAGCCTTAACTCGACGAAGATCTCCAAGGCAGGAAGTGTTTTATGTCGGAGTTGGCATCTCCTAGCCTTTGCCTAAAAAGGTGTATCCTACTAGGCAGTAGGACATGAAGCAGATTGTACTGGGTTACATGTTGCCAGTAGCAGGATAACCTGACCTGACATATTACAACTATAAATATATTTATGTAAATCTCTACAATTTATAATATAAAATATGTAATAAATTTATATTGCACACAAAATTTATATTGAAAAATAAAGAAATGTAGTTTTATTATTAGTATTAAGATGTTCGAATTTATTGATTTCAATTTTAAATTAGATAAAGACTCATGGTTATGAGCTCACAAAATAAACTTTTTGAAGGAAAATTATTTTCCCTATTTGATTACCATTTATAGTCTATATTTATTAAGACTGTTATTTGTGAACATGTAAACATAAATTTGCGTATATTTCATAAAATATATGCAAATTTATGTTTACATGTCCACAAATAACAGTCTTATTTTTTTATTATTATTTAAAGTAAAGGAAACAAGCTATAAAATTTAGAATAATACAAGCAACCAACAACGAACAAACATTTATTTAAGTTTTCACTGTAAAATTAAACAATTAACAAGCAATATTATATATCAAGCAACTGTAACCACTTCATCTTCTAATCAAAAATCTTACATTGGTATAAGTTTAAATTAAGATACGCTAATCATATTAAATCTTTTAACATTTCTAAATACAAAAATTATACTGAGCTCTCAAAGCAGGTATGGAAGTTAAAAGAAGCTAATTTAGTTCCTATAGTTAAGTGGAAAATTCTCAGGCGATGTAAAGCATATAATCCAACATCCAAATCTTGTAAATTATGTCTCACCAAAAAATATGAAATCCTAAAAAACTAATCTACTGAATAAAAGGAGTGAGATTGTTTCTAAGTGTAGACAGAAACATATTCCTTCCTTCTCTATTTGACACTGGCGATTAGAAAAGATTTTTTTCCATATTATTATTGTTATTATTATTATTATTATTGCTATTATTATTATTATTGTTATTATTATTGTTATTATTACTATTGTCATTATTATCTGACGTCAGAACTCATTCCATTGTATTTTTGAATTTTGTAACGAATTTTGTAATTTTAAATTGTATTTTTAAACGATTTAAATATGGCTGATAATGCCGAAAATGACATAAAACTTTAAGTGCCGTAAAAAAGTTATTTTTTCTTATCTAACTTTTTATTTACATACATTATACAAAACCGTTATTCAAAATTCATAAAAATCAAAACAAAAATGATGTAATTGCAACGTAACAGATTTAACTTGTTAAGTTTAACAAAGAGTGGTCTCCAATGGCGTGTCATCACTAAATTACCATTGTCGCGGTTTAAGACTTTTTCCTGCGATTTAGAGGATTGTAATCGCTGTCAAATCAATCTCAATTGGCTATTAATACTATTGGCAGACCAGCTCATAAATTTTCGCAACATCTTGTTGAAATAATACAGCCTACACTTAACAAAAACAAACGCAGGATTCAAATATATTGCGGTTGATGCACCCAATTTTAGCGATTGATGGACCAATCAATATCGCGGTTAGTAGACCAACTAATATCGTAATTGGTGGATTAACCAATGTGGTTGGTGGATCAACTATTATCGCAATCTTTCGAAACTTTTGTAAAACTTTTTTAATTATTTTTATAAAACAAACATAGTTTAAATTTTAATACTTTTTTACTTGATTAAGTCAATTTTTTTAAGTTTTGTTTTTAGTTGGGTTTTACGCTCCTTTAACTATGAGTGGAAACATTATTGTAGATGGCGTTTTATCCAGTTGCTATGCCAACGTAAAAGATGTCTCTTTACCCGGTTTTGGTAGAATTTCTGGCCAAGTTATTGCGCATTTTGGTACGGCTCCTTTAAGAGTAGCATGTTTGGTTTTTCGAAAAAAATTTCAAACAAACGAAGAAATGCCGAAGTATATAATAGCCCTTAACCAATTAGGAAAAAGAGCCAACTTAGTCGCCAAACCGTAGTTGATATAGTTTTCTAAGTTAAATTTTTAAAATTAGTATTTTTCTAAAATATTGTAAATAATCACACTTAAATTATGTAATGAATTATTATAATAAATAATAATTTTATAATGTGTAAAAATGATTAGGACTAAAATTAAATTTTTTAAAAATTTATTTTCTATTTTTTATTATATTTAGATTTTTATACTAAAATTTAAATTTTAGCGAGTGTTAGATGTGAAAATTGATTGGTTAAGCGAGTCTTAGGTGAGAAAATTTATTTTTTTATCTTTTGTATCACTAAATTACCCAGCAGCCGTATTCTCATCTCTTCGTTAAGCTTAACGGAGCTATTGGCTGAAATTTCATTACAATATTTTTATTTTATATTTTTTTATTAATGTAGTTAAAAAGAAATTTTTTTACTAACGCTCCGTTAAGCTTAACGGAAAGATGAGAATACGGCTGTAGAGCAACAATTTTTGTGAATCTTGTTAAAGAATTCTTAATTAATAAAAATTTATAATGTGTTAATAAAAGACGTGTTAAAAAAAAATTTATGTGTTAATAAAAGACGTGTTAAAAAAAAAACTATTAAGATCATATTCCTATTTTTTTTTCTTTTGTACGATTTTTTTAGTATGGCTGAGATATACAAGAAATAAAATTTTTTTAAGATTTATTATCTATAGTATGATTTCTTTGATTTTTAAGAGAAAAGATAAAAAGTTCTAAATATTTTTAACGTAATCTCTTGCATTATATTGTAAAAAACTTGTAAAAAAATGAACATTATATATATATATATATATATATATATATATATATATATATATATATATATATATATATATATATATATATATATATATATATATTATTTTAAAACATCAAAAATACGATTTCTCTCAACACTTATAATTTTTTATTATTATAGAAATTTTCGCTGGATTTTAGATACCAGCTTCTTCAGCTTGTTAAATGTTACAGTAATTAGTAAACCGTTATAATTTAAATTAAAACGTTGCTATTGGCGTCAGCGGTTGAATGGCTTCTTTTTCGCTGAAATTTAAAAAATGGCGTCCAAAACTTCATCGAGATTAATCCCGCCATTTTTTGCAGAACACATGTTTTTTTGTATTTCTAGGGCTTCCCTAACTTTTCTTTCAAATTTTTTATTTTCTACTTTCAATGTTTTTGTTTGTTCCCAAATAATTTCTTTTTTGCAAAATGTTTTATGCAGAGCTAATGCAGATTGATGCTGCTTATTTTCATCAATGCTTTTTTGGTGTTGATGCATTCTTGTGTTTACTTTCATTTTTGTTTCGCCTACATACACTTTTGAACAGTTGCATTTGATTATATATGTTCCTGGTTGACTGTTATTAGGTAATTTTGATTTATTCTTTGATGTTAACAGGGATCTTAAGTTTGGGTTTGATTTGAATACCGCTCTGTAACCAGCTTTTCGGAATATTTTCCTAAGTTTTGGCGAGAGACCGGGTACCCATGGTAAGGAAACTACAGGATAATTATTGATTTCAGATGGAATTGTAATTTTATTTTGTCTTTTGTGTTGAAACTGATGCGCAATATTCATCATTTGAGTTTTATCGTAACCATTTTCAATAAACATGTCGATTAGAAAATTTATTTCATTTTGCAAGTAAGACTTACTACAAATTGAGTAAGCTCGGTGGAGAAATCCTTTAAAAATAGAGTTCAAGATATTTGGATCATGATTTGAGTGTGGCTTAATTTGAATGTTAGTGATAGCATCTTTTCGATACACTTTGTATTCATACTTTCCTGTTTTTTTATTCATAATTTGTATATCCAGATAATTTAGTGTTCCTAACTCGTTTTCAACTTCAATTGTATACTGGATAGAAGGATGTTGTTGATTTGAAATGTATTGGAAATGTTTTGCTTGGTTGAGATCTGGGAACCTTGCGTGACTATCATCGACATATCTTAAGAACGATTTGAGGTTAAGTGCAGGGTTGAAATTTAGTGCAATTTTAATTGCATTGTTTTCATGGAATTGTAGAAATGATTCTGCAAGAACGACCATGAACGAAAGTCCAATTGGACCCGAGTTTTCCATTATATGAATTTCATTGTTCCAATGAAAATAACATTGAAATAAACAAAGTTCTATAAGTTGTTTTATTTCAGGTATACTTAGTCTGGTTAATTTTTTATATGTTGTGTTATTATTTAATTTTTCTATTAATCTCGATGAGGGTCAATACGTAAAAACTAAGTTTTGGACGCCATTTTTTAAATTTCAGCGAAAAAGAAGCCATTCAACCGCTGACGTCAATAGCAACGTTTTAATTTAAATTATAACGGTTTACTAATTACTGTAACATTTAACAAGCTGAAGAAGCTGGTATCTAAAATCCAGCGAAAATTTCTATAATAATAAAAAATTATAAGTGTTGAGAGAAATCGTATTTTCGATGTTTTAAAATAATATATAAATATACTCTCACACAAGATGTTATCCTTTAAATCATATATATATATATATATATATATATATATATATATATATATATATATATATATATATATATATATATATATATATATATATATATATTAATAGCAACATTAAAAAGTTTTACGATAACTTATTCGAACATGGAGCAATTCCACTAATTAACAAACCTACTAGAGTAACCTCAACTTCAGCTACCTTAATTGACAACATTATAACAACCGATATGTTTAATGAAACTCTTAAAATAGGTATAATAAAAAGTGACGTTTCCGACTACTTCCCTATTTTTTTCTCTATTAATATTGAAAACAAATTAATACAACAACATAAAAAAGTCATTATCAAACGCGTTTTCACCGATGCAAATCTAGCATCGTTTAAGGATCAATTATCTTTAATAAATTGGAATCATATAAAAAGTTCATTTAAAGCTAATGAAGTATACGATACGTTCTTTCAAACTTTCTATGAAATATATGATGTAAGTTTTCCAAAACGTGAATTTATTATAACCAATAAAAGTTTAAAGCCACCATGGGTCAATAAAGATCTTAGGAAATCCTCAAAAATAAATCAAAAACTGTATATAAACTACTTAAAAAAACCTACACCAGAAAATAAAATTATTTATAAAAATTATGCTAAAGTATTTAAAAGTCAAAGAAAAAAATTTAAAAAACGATATTACTATGATTTACTAGAAGAATATAAATATAATTCAAAATGCACATGGCAAGTTATACATCAAATTACTGGAAATAGTAAATTAAAATCATGCTCTGTGCCTAACACTATAAAAGTTGAAGGCGTATTTTTATATGAACCCAAACAAATAGCATAAGAATTAAATAAATATTTTGTGTCTGTTGGCCAAAATTTACCTAAAAATATTTCAAATATGATTAATCCAATAAATAATTACGTGTTTCGATTAATCTCTAGTTTAAATAAATTTGAAGTATCTTTTTCAGAATTTGAAAGTACTTTTAAAATGCTTAAAACTAATAAAGCAGTTGGTCCTGATAATATAAATTGTAATATTGTCATAGATTCATACGATACCATAAAACATATTATTTTTAAAGTTTATAAATTTTCTATAAATCAAGGAATTTTCCCCGATCAATTGAAAATAGCCAAAATAACACCTATATTTAAAGGAGGTGAACCTTCAAATGTCAGTAATTGTCGACCAATATCTGTTTTTTCAAAAATTTTAGAAAGAATTATGTTCAACCAAATATCTAATCATCTTGCTGTTAATAATATACTTTACATAAATTAATACGGTTTTAAAAGAAATAACTGAACATGCAATAATTCATCTTACTCGTAGTAAAACTGATTCATTCGAAAAGTCAGAGTTTACTTTAGGCAATTTTATAGACTTATCTAAGGCTTTTGACACAGTTAACCATGAAATACTGTTTATAAAACTTGAACATTATGGTATCACTGGTAATGTTTTAAAACTACTAAAAAGCTATTTAAAACATCGTAAACAATTTGTCTATGTCGATGGACCTTCTTCACAAGATTATCTAAATATAACTTGTGGAGTTCCACAGGGATCTATACTAGGGCCTTTATTATTTCTAATTTATGTTAACGATCTCCTTGAAGTCTCAAAATTAACAACTATGATGTTTGCTGGTGATACAAACCTATTCTTGTCTAATAATAACATCAATAAACTTTTTTATGATATGAACATTGAACTAACAAAAACATCTGACTAATTTAAGTCAAATAAACTTTAACTCAACATTGATAAAACTAAATAGATTTTCTTTCATCCACGATTTAAAAAACATTTACTTCCAAGTAATATGTCTCTTCTTCATATTGATAATATTCAAATAAAAAGAGTAATTTTCACAAATTTTCTAGGTATCATTGTAGATGAAAATTTATCATGGAAGAATCACATCGGACATTTATGCAACAAAATTGCAAAGAGCATTGGAGTTTTATATAAAGCAAGAAGCGTTTTAAACAAACATTCATTAACACAACTATATTACTCTTTTATACACTGACATATTAATTATGCTAATATTGTATGGGGTAGTAAGGGAGTTCGATTTTGTACTTTTTTCAAAATTTTAACTTGTTTTACCCTCAGATAGCTGGGAAATCATGCCAGGAATTAAGAACAATCTTGCTTTTTTTTTCTATGCAAGCCAAATTTTTCGCAAATGAAAAGAAAAATTTAGTAAAAACGTCAATTTTACTAAAAATCTATGCAACAATTGAAGAGTGTAATGCAAAAAAAGTAATTTTATATTTTCCAAATTTTTAGATCTCTTGCTTCCATTTACAGTACGAATGTTGCTGTGTCGTTATAAATAAGTAAAATCATTACTGAAAATTTCCAGTTACCCCTAACTTTACACTTAAAAACTGCAAACCATACGTTGTTAGATAATTCTTCAATTTTTTTCAATTAATAAAAACTGTGGCTTTTCCGGTCTTACTTTGCAGCATTTAACTATATACTATTTTTAGTTATAAAACAGTTTAAATACAAGTTGATGTTGAATTTTACAGGGTTGCATGACAGTGACAAATCCAAGAATTTTTTTTTTTGGGAGGGGGGTATTTTTTTAGTTTTTCTTTTTTTTTTTTTTTTGGGGAGGGGGTGAATTTATTTTTGTATTT